TTCCAGGGCATCCCGCGAACCGGTCCTTAAGTGCCATGGGTGCGACCATCAAAACCATGCACCCACAGCCCACCATATGATATATTTTAATTGACCAACACCAGGACGGTGGCACTAATCCAACATCAACACTAGAACCTAAAGTCTATGCATTAATGTGATTCCCCCATTGTGTGCTAGTTGAACTAAGCATGGCTAAGCAATCCCTAGTCCAATATCTAGTCATGTTATATCCCAAGCTAACAAAGGAGCATGGTACAAATAGCATGGCTAAAACAGTAGGTAACCATCCTATGGTATCATTGTAAAACAATGCAGTATTTAAAGGAAAACAATAGAGCATTTGCAATATAGGATCAACATGTTAAACTGACAAGCATGACTTGCCTTGCTCTGCTGCTGGAGGAACCTCGGCGACTATTTCAAAGTACACGGGAGCGTCAGCAGAGCCAGAATCTAAGCGACACACAAAGCAAACAATACAAACATGCCATAAGACTACTGAAACAGAGAACAAAACCATTTTTAGTGGATTCTTTGCATTTTTCTTGATTTACTGAGACTTGAATGGGCTTAAACGGAGCTCGGATGAATTTTCTATGAATTTTGGAAGATTCACTGTGTTTTTACTATAAACAGCAAAATCCTTAATTGATTTATTGAGCAATTATTAGCCCTGGTGACATCATCAGAGAGAGGGGGCGGCGCCGACATGCGGGCCCCACATGGCAATGGCTCAGGGTGGTGGTCCGTGGTGGACCGGGTCCACGGACCGGGGAGGGGGCGGCGCACCACGAGGTGCACACGTGGCGCCGACGTGGCGCGCACGTGGCGCCCACGTGGCAGCCATGCGGCCAGCGGGATTGGGTGGCCCCGATCTACCCGAGGGTAGATCGGACAGCAGGGGTAGCACGCGGCCGGCGCGCCTGGGCGGCTCCAACCGGCCCGGCGGCCATGGTGCGTGGCAGCGCGGCGCGACGCGGCGGCGGCGCAAGGCGGCGAGCGGTCGATGGCGACGCGACGGCGACGCGGGTGGCGCTGGCGGCGGAGCAGCTAGGCGGCGGCGCGATGGCTAAGCGGCGCGGGAGAGAGAGGAAGGGAGGGGTTCCTCACCGACGATGATGATCGACGGAATGAAGATGGCGACGAGCGGCCGAGCTTCGGGATCACCTAAGGAATCAAAAGAGAGGGATTAGAGAGAGAGAGACCATGGATGGCTAGGACGCCGGCCGAAGGCGGCGGCCATGGCAAAGCTCACCGGCGTGCGGTGCGAACGGTGCTCCTGCGGCGGAAATCGGTGGCGGAGGGGCGGACGGGGTGGCCCTCGGGCTTGCGAACCCGACGGTGGCGATGGCGCGGCTCGGCGCGGCGGCTAGCGGCGACTGGAGCGGCGGTGGCGGCGGCGGCGGAGAGGAGGGCGACGGCGCTAGGGCGGAGGAGGGCACGGGGGAGCTCGACGAAATGGTGAAAAAGAGAGAGGGAGGGGCGGTGGTGGTTTATATAGGCTCGAGGGGATCGATCGTGGCCGAGATAGCCGCGATTTCGCAGGCGGAGTGGGGAGAGGTGGGGAGGAGAGAGAGGCAGGATTCGAAATTCGAATCCCGGCCGTCTCGAGCTCAAGCGCGGGCGGGAGAGAGAGGGAGTGGGCGCGGGGAACTCGGGGAAGGCAGCGACGTGGGCGACGTGGCCTAGGAGGCGAGGGAGAGACGGGAGCGGCGGTTGGGGAGGCCGGCCTCCTCCTCTGGTTGGAGGTTGGGGACGGGCCCGACAGGTGGGCCCCACCTGTCGGCAACCCCGGGAGAGAGAGGAGGGGGCGCGGGCTTAGCTGGGCCGGCCTTCGGCCAGCCCAGCAAGGGCGCGGGAGAGAGAAGGAAATGGGCCGGTAGCCCATTAGGGGAAAAAGGAGGGAAAAGGAAAAAGAAAAAGGGAAAAGAATTTTCAGGGATTTAAATAATGCTTGTGCTCATTTTTAATTGGTTAAAATTATTTCTAGAGCTCTGAAAATTCCACTAAAAATCTTGTTAGCATATTTCGACATGTAGAACTCAAGAAAAATTCCACATGCCAATTCTGATTATTATTTGCATTAATTTAATTAGGGTTTCACTCTTACTTTTACACCGGTATTTTCTCGAGACCATTTATAAATTAGATTTAGGCTTGGGAGAAGAACTTCAGGATGTGACACCGGTTTAGCTGTTTTTCTACAATACCCATCTTAATTTGGCCGTTTAGCTAGATCGAGGTGGTTGGCGACTCCATATCATCGGCCGCAAGACGTTTAGATGCTGCGATCGTGCTTGTCGACTTGTCATAAAAAGTTGCCAACAGCACCCTCTGCACAAGCATCAAGATTCAGCTGCGGCTCACCACGGCGCGAAGCTTGTTCGTCTTTGCGGACCTCCTGCGCGCCGCTGGCCCGGCCGCTTGCTGCGCAGCCAAGTGAAGCAGAGCCAATGGTTCGATGACTAGACCTTTGCCTTGTGTAGCTGCGTTGGTTTTAGGCTTGTAGCATGAGGCTTAATTAATAAGCAACTCCCCCAGATCGGTAACGGCCGCGTGGCCGGCTGATCGATCCCTCCCGGCTAAGTTCGGAATCCTGTGTTCCTGCCTCCACTCTCCCGCACGCAGACCTTTCAAATGGTTAAACGGTGCGTTTTTTACAAAAAGTTTTTATACAAAAGTTGCTTGAAAAATTCATATTGATCTTTTTTAAAAAAGAGCAAATACTTAATTAATCATGCGCTAATGGACTGCTCTATTTTTTATGTGGGCAGCTTCTGTCGGAACATCCGACAACAGAATATGTGATTGTTACAGATGTATTAGGATGGACTATTACGATTGATTTGTATCGTGGCTTTTTTACCTCTAATTATTACTTATCTCTACTGATATATTGTCCTATATATACCAGCCTTTAAATTTTAAAGAGTCTAATATTTGTAATATTTCTTTCGCTCTAATATTTAATATGGTATCAGGGTGAGTGATCTAGATCTAGAGCCATTGCTCACCGCTCATGATTTAGCCGTTGTCGCTCCTAGGAGGGTTCCGATCTCCTAAAGGTGGCCATCGATTTTTTTTTTTGTCATTCATCTTCGTCGTTGTTTTGTCGCCGAGAGGGATTGATCTTGGTCTGAACTTCGTCGGTCCTCGTTGCCCGCCGATCTGGATGTGACAGCTCCCTGAGTCATCGGCCTCTACCACCACATCGAGCTCCCTCCCATCCACCACCACCGACCATATCGACCTACACCTCTAGGATCCCTGTCACTAGCACCACTACCTCACCCACCCATGGGCCATCAGGCGGCTCCACCTCGCCACCCGACGTCGCCTCCTTGACCTCTCCATCGGCCCTCGTTGTATGCAGGCCGCTGTGTGCACCAAGGGTCGTCTCCTCACCGGCTTCGCCTCCCTCCACCAGCATCACCGCTTCAGCGCTTCTCCGCCCTAACGATCGGCCACCGGCTTCGCTTGGATCAGCCACTCCTCCCGTCGTTCCGGGAGAACGACCACCTCTCCACTGCTCGTCGCTCGGACCTCGCTGCTCCGCTGGTTTCTTGCTACCTCTGCTCTGCCTTCCTACCTCTCCTTTTCCCGTGTGGTTGTCTCTGGCCTTGTAGCAAGAGGACAGAGTAACAAAGGAGAGAAGATACGAGTAACCCAGCTTGAACTGGTTCAGTGGACCTGATCTGAAAAAGAAATGACAAGAGATAACCGCACAAATCTCTTTCAGCGTCTAATCGATTGGATGATTGATTTTAGGGTTTTGAGTCGATGGTCACAGGGCCTCACTTGCCTAACTAACCGGTATTAGCCAATAAAGTCAACTAACATCTCCTCTTGATTTTGAGACTAACTAACGAGTCTACTAAATGAAGTAGCTCCTCGAGGTAATGTGTTAAACTTTTGGTGGGCTAAAACTCTAGTGGGGTGGTCTGGATCTTAACCTATTTCTAGGTCCATCCTACTAGGGTATTTACATAATTTGATGGCCCTAAACGATCACATAGCCTACACATCCCCTGATAGTATGATACATCTCTTCTTCCTTTTAACTCTCGAAGAGATTGAGGGGTGGCTTTTTCCATCTCTTTTACTATGTTATCATAGGCATTATGTAATTCTAATTTTATGCGATACTCTTTAATACTCCATCCCTCCCAAAATATAACAACTTTAGCCTTTTAAATTTGTCCCAAAATATAATAACTTTAACACCAACATTCCCTTCTCAACAGTCACAACTCTTCTCCATTCAATTTCCCCACCTACCTTCGCATCTCAACCAATCACAATCTTCTACCACTTAATTCTACCTACTTTCTTAATAACTGTGTTTAACTCTAAAACTCCTCGTGAGACGGAGGGAGTATCTTAGGCCCTATTTAGTTCCCACGCAAAAACTTTTCACCCTGTCACATCGAATGTTTGGATACATGCATGGAGTATTAAATATAGAAAAAAAAAACTAATTAGACAGATTGCGTGTAAATTGTGAGACGAATCTTTTAAGCCTAATTGCTACATAATTTGACAATGTAGTGTTATAGTAAACATGTGTTAATAACGGATTAATTAGGCTTAATAAATTCATCTCACGGTTTACTGATAGAATCTATAATTTATTTTGTTATTAATCTATATTTAATACTTTAAATATGTATTCGTATAACACGCGAAAATATTTTACCCCGCAACTAAACAGGGCCTTCGTCTTGATGAAACGAAAACATATGTGGTAACTCCACCCTCACGGTCCTCCCCTCTCGCCACCACCACATCACGCCGCCGTTTCGTGCTCATCATCTCTATCCATCAAACCCCACCCCGCCACCGTACACGGTACACCTGGACCACAAAGCAGCGGCGCGCTCGCTGCCACACGGGCCCGGACGCGTGACCCTCGGTGGGTCCCACCTGTAAGAGAGAGGCGGGCGACCTCCACGCGCACTACTCCATCACATGAAATTGGGGGTGCGATTAGCCGGGGCTTTAAAAAAGGGAGGAGAAATTGGGAGAGAAAAAAGAAACCCACACTAGTGAAGGGAGAGAGGGGGGATCGAAACCCTAGGGCGGCGAGCTCGGCGGCGATGGCGGCGGCGGCGGCGCCGGAGTCGTACATCGGGAGCGTGATAAGCCTCACGTCGAAGAGCGAGATCCGGTACGAGGGCGTCCTCTACACCATCAACACCGAGGAGTCCAGCATCGGGCTCAGGAACGGTTAGGCTCCTCCCTCCCGAGCTCTTCCCCCTCCTCCTCCCGCCTCCCCTGGTTGGGCCGCGTCGGCGATCTGTGGGAGAGGGTGTGTGTGTGTGCCGCGTCGCCGTGGAATTATGGATTCGCTGTTTTTCTTTCCTGTTTGCTTAGCTTCCTGTTGCTATGGGTGCATATAATCTCGAATCATCTATGCAGGATTACCGTATGGTTGGGGGTCTAGCTCATTTTTTTTTTGCAAGGATTGTATGCTCTTAGTTCTCGATTACACTGTGGACTAGTCATCTTTGTTGTGCGATGCGAGCTAGAATTTAGAATCTAACAGCGTGGGTAAAGATCTGGGACCGGATGCTGAACAGTTCCACTTGTACTTGGTTAATTTTGTGTTCTTCTGTGGAGGTGGAGTAAACAGCGTGGGCTGTGGTCTACAGCGACTAGGTATTGTTGGTGGGGGATTACTCTTCTTAACGGCCTAACAACCTAGTTTTGTTATTAATGATGGGAAGTCCTTTTGTGATAACCCATTCATAGCAATCCGAATTCAAGTAGTGTAGCATTCAGTGCCTTCTTGCCAAATCGTTGGCGGTCTTAAGTTGGGTAATGTCGTTGTACATCTGAAAGAGGCTAGGGATCTTTCCCTGTTTGGAATATATAGTTGAACCCGAGAATGATGCATGTGGGAAGGTGCCATTGCGGTAGGTGCTTTGCCAAACTTTCTATTGTGAGCTATTGGTAGGAAATGTTTCCCTCTGACAGTTGTCTCTTTCAAGCTATTCTTATTATTACTATTGATGTGTTGGTGATGCTGTGTCTTGACCTGTATCATATAACTCAATGACCCAATCCTGCAGACAACCTTTCCATGCAAAACTCACTGACTGATGTGGGCATTTGTTATTTTTGTAAGGGTTTGCATGTTCCATTACACAGCCAATCATATATTTTCTGTTTCTTAACTGACTTGGAGATGTTACTTCGTCAAACAATCAACGGTTTCTGTTTTTAGATAAGATCCTGTTTTCAACATTGGGTATTGGTGTGTGACCTAATATTATCTGATAACTTTTCAATGCGTGGAATGCAATCGGATATGGTTTTTACAGGAAGTTTTACACCTTGATAATATTTTCTTTTCTTATTCCGTTAATATTTCAATCCAAGCTTAACTTTCATACCACATTCAAATCTGAAAAAAGCAATACTTCAATATATGGCTAATCTGAACAGTGCAGTTTGCCAATAAGAATTGGCAATTTCATGTAATTTACCTGAGGTTTTTGCTTGCAGATTTGATTTTCTATTTTTTCTTTCCACAAATTTAGAATTTAACATATATTGTAATTTGGTCCCTATGTGTATGTAGTACAGCACCAAATTCTTGTTAGAATAATAGTGATTTTTGGATTTGATCTGAATTTTTGGTTCAAAATGTTGATATGGAACCTTGTAGGGCCATTATTTGTCATATTTTACTGGTTGCAACCCTGACGTTAATGTAAGCTGGGGATGAGCTGAATAGTCTACTCCCCCCTTCTGCTTCTCCTTGTTCCCATCTCTTTCTGCATACTTGTATCATTCTAGCTCTCTATGCAACACTGTGTATTCTACTATTCCGATAGCTACTAACATCCTTCTGTACGATGAGGACATGGCCATTGTTTCATTTGTTATGTGGAGAGGCTAGTCAAAAGGGCCTTGATGTCTGTTTGACATCATTTTTGCTTTGTTTTGGATTTTCCATAGAAAGATCATTTGTGCAAGTAGGATATCATAGCAGACATAATTTATGAGCAGTGTTGCAGATGCTCCATATATTTCTCTAGGAAAGTGAAATGAAGCTTTATCCGTGGCTTATATTCCCAAAGTTCTAAATGTTTTAGTTAAAACACTAGAAAATAGACGTGGCTTTGCCGCATAATAGACCAGCCAGTATGAAATACTCCATCCGTTTCATCGTGGGTGGCGGAGGATCCGGTGGGCGGCGAGGCGTGCATCGGCCATCGGGAGGAGGGATGGGTGGATTAGGGGTCGAGCGCTTTTGTGAAAAAAAAATTCAAGCTTCGTTGGTCCATCGCAGCGAACTTTCGGGGAGCAAGGAGACACGTGGCAGATTTTTGGGGAGGGGAAGCTTAATTTCTAGGACGCCACGTGGCGTAATCTCCGGCCAGGGATAGAGCCCTGAAATTGGTATTAGAGATTTGAAACTTAACTTGAAGTAAGTTAAAAAATTGTTACCACAAAAATGTATTTTTTTCTCTCTAATCTTATGATTTGAGTATCCATGGGTGTTTGATATTTTCCTGTGACCTTAAGAAGAGATGCTGTTCTCATGTTCGTGTGCATGATATTATTCTCACTGAGTGCTTCACTGTACTGTTTTGCAGTTCGCTCATTTGGAACTGAAGGTCGTAAGAAGGATGGTCAACAGATTCCAGCCAGTGACAAGATATATGAATACATACTATTTAGAGGAAGTGATATAAAGGTAATGCTGGTAAATCAGAAACATTACTAAAACACTAAATAAATCTGTGATTATTGTTGAATTATTGATCCAATGATTTGGCCTGTTATACAGTATAGTAGGATCAACTTTTGGATTGTAATATCGTACTTTTGGATCATTATTTTCTATTGCTTAATTTTGGTCACATACAAGATGTGGATTAGGATTATCCCATTGAATAATAGTATTTGGAAAATATGTGACTCATTGGGGTCCAGTGATCACATTTTTTTTTTGTCAAGTTCTCCGAAACCTTTATTTAATCCTGATACAAACTTTTTCTTTCTTGCTGATTTACTGTCACTGTTTACATTTTTGTCTTGCTCTGTTTGTTCATCTTGTTGTATTACACTGGCAATCCCCTTTCCTATGTCTTAGCTTTGATTGCTCCACTGCAGGATTTACAAGTCAAATCCTCTCCACCAGCTCAGCCTACTACTTTACACAACGATCCAGCGATTATCCAGGTAAATATACATAAAATGTTAGGCATCTTTTGGAAGGATGCTGGATCTATTTCTTTTGAAGAATGGTTTGATATTTTAGATGATGAATCTTTGCTCACTATTTTGTGTAGTCACATTATCCTTGTCCTGCCTCTACGAGCTTACCGCCTCCTGCAAGCACAGCAGCTGATCCTGCCTCACACAATGGTCAGTCAGGAATTCAGATGCCTCCACCATTGCCCCAATTTCAACCTGGGGCCAGTTTACCATCATGGAACTCATCACCTATGCCATCATCTGCAAATGGCGCTCCTGCTAGCACAACAACAGCTGATCCTGGCTCACACAATGGTCAGTCAGGAATTCAGATGCCACCACCGTTGCCCCAATATCAACCTGGGGCCAGTTTACCGTCATGGAACTCATCACCTATGCCATCATCTGCAAATGGTGCTGGCCTTACTATGCCACCAATGTACTGGCCAGGATTTTATACACCACCAAGTGGGTTTCCTCATTTGCAACAACCGCCCTTTCTTCGTCCACCACATGGCTTGACAATTCCACAGGCCTTGCAGCAGCCCATACAGTATCCTGGACTTAATGCACCTTTACCACCTTTTCCTAGAATGCCAGAGTTTGCTTTACCACAACCTGGTAGTGGTAATAACTTGACCCAGAATCTAGGTGTATCCACATCAATGCCGGTCCCTGCCTTATCAAGTACTCCAGCAACTGAATCATCTGCAAACCAGCTTCCAAATATGCTGTCATCTGTTTCTGCTAGTGTATTCTCTCTGGGTTTAACTCCCCCATCTGTTAATCCGCCAGTCTCTACAATTGAATCGACTATGTCCCAATCGCAAGGCATCTCTCCTCTGATGAACAATAAGCCAGTCTCACTTCCTCTTGACTCTACTGTACCATCTGCCAGCAGTAATAAGCCTATGAATATACCTGTGCCAACCTATCTACCTTCCTCTCAGCCACCATTGGCTAATATTGCAGCAAGTGCAGCCACTGTTGCAGAACCAGTTACATTGGTCACTCCTGGCCAACTTCTACCAACCATTTCATCTACAGTCCTTTCGGCTGATGCCTTGGAAACAGCTTCAGCTATGATTCCATCCCCTAAGGCTGCCTCCTCTATGGTCTCATCCTCTCAGGCTGCCTTGGCTGCATCCTCTCAGGTTACTTCCTCTGTAGTTTCACCCTCAGAGGATCAATTTGCTTCCTCACCTGTTCCATCACATCAACAGCTGGAGCAAAACAATGAAGATAGGCACACCAAGAAACCTGAATGGAAGGCTAAACAACACTCTGTTGCTCCATCCAACAAGGAACCCCTGTTGCCAGCACCTAAGCCTACTCTTCAGAAGGTAATAGCATACTAAATTTAATTTTTATTACACAAGTACAAGGGAAGATTATTTTTGGTACCATTATTTCCATACTCAGTTAATGTGCGCGATTTGTATACTCTGTAATTAGTCCCATTTTCAATCCTTTGGTTTCAGCCTGTTGGAGCTTCCTCATACATTCAATACAACAATAGAGGCCGAGGAAGAGGAAGAGGCCGAGGAAGAGGAATTGGGGTATGGTATCTAAAACATGTTTTATACGCCTTCAACTGTTCAAATGTAGAAATCCTTAATGGCTAAAACATTCTTGGATTATTTTCCCTGTTTGGTACTGTTACCATGTTTGGCTACTGCTCCCATGTTAGTATTCTTCTGGATTTGATTGTACTCCCTCTGTTTGAAAATATAAGGTGTCCTTGTTTTCCACAAAGTCAGCATTTAAAATTTTTGACTATCTGAAAATATTTTCATGCGATATTAATTTTGTAGTTATTGATAATATATTATGAAAGAAATTAATGTCAAAGTATAATGTTGGAGACTATTTAGAAACCTAATACGCCTTATATTTTCAAATGGAGGGAGTAATGTTTAGTACTGGTTCTATTCACCTCTCTTCTCTGGGTATCATTCTGTACGGTATTGTGGATGCCCTTTTCTGATGTTCGTCATGTAGGACAGTATTCTCAACATTATTATTTTCAAATTCCAAGATGCTAGGTGTGCAATACTGATGTAGGACAATCATCTATTGATGTCCAGTCATCAGATCACAGTTGGGCTCATTGATGGAGTATACAAGAGAGAATGTGGTTTTTGGTATTGGATGAGGAAATCTCTTGTGGCTATTGTCAAAATCAGTTGGAAGTTATTAGGATACTCCATTGTTTTGTAGGTTGTTGATCATGTGGCTACATTTGATCCTAATAGGTTGTTGATTTTGTTTACAAAATGCTTGTAGAATATAGTGTTACTAAATTCCCAAATGGCCAAAATAGCTGGTATTAATACTATTACTCTAGTCCTCCTCATTTATTCCTAGCCACGGTAGCACTTTTCCTGGATGTGTTAGTACACAATTTATCTTTCAATTTGCTGCTTGCCTCCACACTCATTGCTGTTATCATGCTCCCTCTCAGCCACATTGAAAATTGCCGTTTAGCTTTGTGCCATCCACCATGGGATGGGAAAATGGTTTGGCTGTCAAATAATTTGGACTACCAGTAGTGAAAGGTAAATCATATGTAATTGGGTGAAGCAGATTGCAAGTAGAAAGGCATTAGTACCTCCTTTGTCTGTCTTTTGACCTAAGAATATCTTTATTCCAAATGGAGGGATATCCAGCCTAGTCTATCAGTATTTGGATAAAGAATACATATGTTTGGCTCCTTTGTTTGCTCTGATTTCTGAAGTTGGGAAGGATTTCAATGCTTTTGAGGGAGGGCTAATTTGACTCTCCTCTCCTAGCTAGATTTGCTTGCCCAGGCTAGAAAAAGAACAAAACATGCCCTTCGTAACTGGGTCATCAAACTATTCGATGAGACCACGTTCCACATTTGACACTTGTTCTTGAAGTAACTGTTCCCTGTTTTGACACACAGTTTTAGTTGCTTCCTGTAACCCCATTCCTCGACCTAAATGCTCCATGTTCCTGTTAACTATGAGCAATTTCAATATATATATTTGTCCAAATCATGCTAACTAGACTGTCAAAGGCACATCCCTCTGCTAGCATATGAGTTTTGATGTATTATAGGATGCTGAAATCTGTTCTGCATGAATCATATGCTATGTTATTGAAATTGTAAAATTTGTATACTTATTAGTTTCCCCTCTCCAGCAATCACGTCCTATAACCAAGTTTACAGAGGACTTCGATTTCATGGCAATGAATGAGAAGTTTAACAAAGATGAAGTATGGGGCCATCTCGGTAAAAGCAAAGGACAGTTGAACGATGATCCTAATGAGTATGAAGATGATGTTCTAGAAGATGATATTTCTCCTGGGAAGCCAGAAGTTAAGGTAGTAGCGCTGTTGCATTCTTGCAATTTGTCAATATGTTCGCTGACTAGCATTTTTCTATCTCATCTTTGTGCAGCCTGTATATGTCAAAGATGACTTCTTTGATTCACTGTCATGCAATACCATTGATAATGGAGGGGGGAATGGAAGAATCAAATTCTCGGAGCAGAGAAAAATAGACACAGAGGTAATCAACAGTTACACATTGTGTCTTTCTCGTTTTCACCTTATGACAACATGAAGTGCTTATTATAGCAAGTTTTGGTTGTAGACTTTTGGTGATTCTGCAAGGCATCGGCCCATGGGCATGCGTGGAGGAGGGAGGGGTCCCCGTGGTGGACCCCGTGGACGTGGTTACTATGGGAGGGGGTATGGATATATGGGAAGGGGGCGCGGCTACTCCTACCCAAACCACCAATCTTAGTAAGGAGGGCTATGCTTTTCCATTCCGATGAGCAGATGAATGGTGGTTGAATGGTGATGAAGAAGGAAGAGCTTTTATGGCTATATTTGTAGTGTAATCTCGCAGGTATCTCAGGTCCCGGCTTGTTGGCACGAACGGGCCTCAACAACAAAGCAATCAATTTGATAAATTAAGAAATTCTCACAACGAGTTTTCTGTAGAGCTTTTACCTGCTTTCCTGAATCCCTGTCAATGTTGATGCTCGTTGCTCTCCCTGAGGATGCTGATGGGATATAAACTAAAAACTATTTTGTGATTCAGCGAATGATTATATCCAGTGTTAATTTTGGTACTGTGGGAGCATATATGTTAGTTCTATCAAATTGTCAATGTTTTTATTGAGCTCAGTGCTTAGTAGCTACATTTTGGAGCATTCCGTTTACTGTGTTATTATCGATTTGATTTATGTCTACGGCCGCTTGGATTTGAACTAGTGCATTGTACAGCTTAACATCCTATTGTTCGGATGAGGCAGCGTTGGTGATTGAAGCTGAATGATCCGAAAGATACTGTGAGCGATATATATCAGTGGTAGCGACAAGCAAGCGTGTGGATGGAGCTCTAGGTTGCTATGGCATAACATACTACTTCGTAAAAAAAAATGAATTCTTAGCTATGAACCTTGTAGGTAGGATTTTTATTTTTTTTTTGAACAGAGGGGGTAGTTGTGAATATGTAATGGGTAAAAAGGGTATGGATAAGTGGTTAATCCAAATATTAGAAATCGTTGATGCCTACTAACTTTTAAATTCGTATAAGTGTGTCACATCATTACTCACTAATAATTATTATCTAATTATTATCTAGAGTATTTTAAATCACATGTACTCTCTTCGTCCAAAACAAATAACCCAATTCTATGTCTAGATTGAAACTCAGAATTAGGTTCTTTTTTACAGAGGGAGTAAGTATGATACATTATCATCTACTAGCAATTAGTATTATCTAGAATATTTTAAATATCATACAAATATTACATATCACTTACAGTTGTGTTGTATTATTACAATATATGCAAGTAAAGTCAAATTATTATTATTATCTCCACATCATTTTCACATTATTTAAACATATACATTTACTATTTCTATAATATATATAGCATGCATTTATTCACATATCCCGCAGCAAAGCGCGGAGTATCAACTATGCCATGCAAACAAAGTACTCTCTCCGTTTCATAATGTAAGTCATTCTAGCATTTCCCACATTCATATTGATGTTAATGAATCTAGAGAGATATATATGTCTAGATTCATTAGCATCAATATGAATATGGGAAATGCTAGAAAGTGAAACGGAGGAAGTACTACTTTTTTTTTCTTCAAAATAGCAAGTGTATGAGGTATTTTTCATGAGAAAGTACTGATGTTTTACCAATCATTCTCTCACCTATCCGCTAGGATTAACATCACCATTTCCTATACCATTCTCTTGAATTTTATAATAGTTATCTTAATCTGTGGCCGACCACTTCAAATGTATCTTACATTTTGATAATGAAGAAATATTGTTGTAACATGGTACTCTCACCCCTATTTGGCCCTATACAAATACAAGCTAGTGAATGGCAACAAGGGATGGGCTTCTACTCGATTTATCCTATGCCTAAGTAATTTCTTGGTAGCTTGTCTTATGACCTGTTCCCAGCAAGTTTTTCCCAAAAACATCACATCGAATCTTTGGACACATGCATGGAGAATTAAATATAGATTTTTTAAAAAAACTAATTGCACAGTTAGGGAGGAAATCGCGAGACGAATCTTTTGAGTCTAATTAGTCCATGATTAGCCATAAGTGCTACAGTAACCCATATATACTAATGATAGATTAATTAGGCTCAAAATATTCGTCTCGCGGTTTCCAGGCGAGTTATAAAATTAGTTTTTTTTATTCGTGTCCGAAAACCCCTTCTGATATCCGGTCAAACGTCCGATGTGACACCCAAAAATTTTCTTTTCACGAACTAAACAGGCCCTTAATTTGCCGACTTGTATCCCTATAATATAGGGGAAAAGTTGAACAAATCTTAATAAACTTCATATGAATAAAACTGATTGAACTTCAAATATATATTATAAAAACTCTACTAACCCTTCTCGGTATATCCTTTTGGATCTCCAATATCGAATGCTTGAAAGGCATCATCTGAATATTATGATTACATCACGTCAGGCATATTCTCAACTTCACTTTTGTGCATTTGACTTGCATGAATCTGGATATAGAATATGCAGTTGCATCAATGATCAACCATTCATCCACAAGCCAAAAGTAAACCTATATTTTATTAACTGAATTAAGGTGCTGACTTTGCAAAGTCAACATCTTAATTAAGGGAAGAATAACAGATTATTATGTCCAGATACTTCTTCATCAAGTGTGCAGTGTGTTGCTTCATGCCTTCTTATACTGTTGTACATATCTGTTGTGATAAGAGAAAATCACAACAGCCACATTTAAAAACTGATCTGAAAGGTTGCTAGCTCGGTTTACTCTAACCTTAATGGAGAAAACATTTCTGTAACATTATTCACTCTTGGACATCAGAAATATCCCATTTGGAACAATTATTCCTTTGAAAAATAGCACATCCAAAATTCTCGGTGAAAATTTTACCGTGGTATAACAGAACTTATGTCTCAGTTAATTTCTCTTGGTTCTATACTATTCTATCCTTGTTATTGAATACGAGGTATTGACAATATAGAACTTATGACCGCACACAATATATATACATAACACACAAAGTATCTTGGATCGTCAAATCAAAATGGTATTAGGAGAATTTTTGGTCATATGTTTATACTCTCTTCAGGAAATGTTTTATTAAAAAATGAACAATCAAGCGCATATGGTAATAAGAATAGTTCGTGGTGATAATAAGCATATGGTAAAACTTGTATGTGGCCGCAACATGTGCTATCCAGTTAAAATTCATGCCATATCCTACTTTAATTATAGTAATAGGATTGTAGTAATTATAGAGATTCATGAACTATGCAAGATATATATAGGTTGAGTTGACAAAACTATACTGTGTAAATTAAAGCAAATATGCTACAGTTATATACTTATCAAATATACTACTCTGTTAAAAAAATATAAATATATCTATAGGTTATTTAACATAGATTAAAGCTACGGCAATGCTCCTCACCAGGGGCGGATTCAGGAATAAAAAGTTAAGGGGCTCAATTACATATTTTCTTCAACCTCCAGCCATATAAGGACGTTTAATTTATCATTCATGGTGAAAAAATCGAGGGGGTGCTCTGAGGGGTATCCATGGGTTTTATTGGTGTAGGGGGGACTTTGTCCCCCTGCACCCATGTTGGATCCGCCCCTGCTCCTCACTAATTAAGGGTGGATCGGTGGTGGGAGAATGATTATGTTAAGAAATTTCTTACCATAAGACAGTAATATTTGAGCACAACTAAAGGAATATGTCGGAGTGTCCTACCACAGTTGTTGAGCTGGTAAGTTATTCTTTGAGAGTGTATATTGTTCCATTCGCAATTGCATTACACTAAACTCCTATATCTCTATAACACCAGATATTTCTTGCAATGGTTCATCGTACTCAGGGTTCTGAATACCCTTTTTTTTCTAAAGAAACATAATGATACCCCCGAAATTAAGCCAGTAACCCACAGTTACCAGCCAAATATTTTACTTCAAATTTTTTTGAATTGGCATTAAGTTAGATAAATACTCCCTCTAAACCATGCATTTAAGTATTTTCAAAGTTCATTTTTTTTTCTACAACTCCCTCCATCCTAAAATATCAATCATATTTTTTCCATGTCTCATAATATAAGGTATAGATGCATGCATGCAATAAATTAGCACATCCCTCTCCTTTTAATTTGTTTTCTCAAATCCTCCATCCTCAACATCTCTATTCCCATTGGATGTATGGATTGTATTTATTGGAGTGATTAAAATGAAGAGACGATTATAATTATTTCTTGATCTTTCCATTACTAGTGGTTATGGCTTATCATTTAGGGTAGATGGAATACTTTCTTATCTCAAGGCCCGTTCTTTTCTGATTAAGATGCAAATTTTACTTGTATTTTCATTATCACGTTTTTCAAACTGCTAAACAGTGCGTTTCATGTGAAAACTTTACTATATAAAAGTTGCTTAAAATATCAAATAAATCTATTTTCCAAGTTTATAATAATTAAACTCAATTATTCTCATTTTACACGTCCTTCCTTATTTTTAATCTTCATCTATCTGAAACGGAGAACGAGGGCATCAAGTGTTAAGGTTATGGATGAGACATACCCCGTGATCTTGTGTTAAGCTCGGTAGGGCCCACCATAGACCAAGTCTTATGTGTAATCATGCCTCATATACGGAAGGTATTCCGAATAAGGTAGGAGAAGTAGAGTTCTAAGTTGGAAACTACAAGGCCACTTGGATCATATCCATATTTGTTTCCTAGTTTTACTTGGACAAGGGGATATTTATGGGTATAAATAACAGACCCCTAGGAGGAGAGGGGACATGCTCAGTCATAACATACACCAATACGCGCTGTCAGACATCAACATTAGAGATAAGATTAGACGTACCCAATCTAGAGCTACAGAGGCTGCCAAGAGAGATCTAGCGCTATCTCTAATCTCGCCGAGTTCATATTTGAGGAAAAAGACTACCCCATCGTTGACTACGTTTGGTGTTCCATGCCACCAAGTCGACGATGACTAGATATGTTATCCTAAATATTGTACTTGTATGGTTCTGATAAATAAGAGTAACACCGGCTTCGGCCAACAGGAGTAGGACTATTACCTTACAGATAAGGGGCCCGAACCTATATAAAAATCATTGTCTCTGTCTTTTTTACCTCGATCTAGCATATACCCTGGTGTTAACAACCAAATTTGGTAACATCGGTATCAGGAAAGAAGATTGGATCAAAGCGAAGTCGGAAGCGGAGATCGAGTTTGGAAACAGAGCAGGAATCGGCTGGAGTCCAGATCGGCTACGGTTAGGATCGGCTAGGTCTGAGTCGGGCTAAGTAAAGCCGATACAGCCGATTCCGACAATATGACTTGTACACGACATCGGGTTCAAGTTAATGTACTTCAAGATGATTGCCACGCACGGATAGAGTCCTGGGAAAGCAATTGTATCTATTAATTAGGATATCCTATGTAAATTCCTTATAGATAAATATGGGCAAAAGTCTGCCGTAAAGACTTATGGTATCTTAGAGTTTGTTAGAGATAATAGTCGTGTCCGGTATGGGCATATCTTGTAATTCTCGGGTATAAATAGACCCCGAACCCTATGTAATTTAACAACACATGTTCAACACAATTTCGGCGCA